TGCTACGTACTGGCTAGAATTCTGCCTGCAAAGTTAATGTAAGTGCTCATGGATTTAAAGTATCTGGTGGCTGCTAGTTTTGTGTTTATGGTACTTAACTTCAGTAGGCTCAATTATTTCTTTACAGTGTTTTTGTAATGCCTATTACTTAGACCTTTTAAAGGAAATAACGTTATATGTTCTTTTACATGTGTGTTTTATAGCAATCAACAAGCCTTCTTACTAGAAAACGTCCCGTGCAATAACGTGAGCTGCAAGAGCGTACGTCGTATGTTTAAAGTTTACTGGGAGCTCTCGGATCTAAATCAAATCAAGGACGCGGTGGTAGCAACCTTCTTTGACATATACGAAGATGTAAGTTCAGCTCTTTGCTGCAGTAACCAAGCTCTCTCTCGCTGCGGTCCGGGGGCTGCTGCCTGTGCGCGGGAGCAGCAACATGCGGCTGCCCGGTAGGAGCCCCGGCCGCAGCAAGGAACTGGACCAGGTGCGTTCTCCTGGTTAGCTGCAGAAGGAGCGGTCTGTCTTCCGTTGCCATAGATTAGTATCACGTGAAAGGTACTCAGGTTAGTAGCGGAGGTGCAAGCTTTGTCACATACGCACTTCTTTTTTTTTTAATCTAAGAGAATTTGTGTGCTGGGTTTAGATGTTATGTAGAATAAACCTGCATTCCAATTTTAACTGTTTTTTCCTCTCTCTCTCCCTCAGGGCATCTTGGATATCATTGTACTAAGCAAAGGCTACTTCAACAAGGACTTTGCTATACATACATTAAAAAATAACTTTGAAGCAGATGCCTATTTTGTTAAAGTTATTGGTAAGTGATCACCATAAAATCAAGTCAAAATAGGACTTGGAGAGGAATATGAATATTTGACCTTCTGTGTATGATAACACCATAATAATGCTCCTTGTATGATAATGCTAGAAAAGAAAAAACATAGCATGGAAAACATTAGGGACTGCAGAAATCTGACTAGGTTACAACATGGATAAGTCATTTTTGTTTTATTTCAAAGGTTTTTTTTTCTGGAGTTTTATTTTAGTGCAGTTACTTACATTCAAAGTAATTTGCCAACTATTTTCAATATTCTAGCTATTTTTAATGTCAGCTTTGACCACCGTGGCTTTTAAAATACATGTTCATTGTCTCTGCGTGATTTGGATTTTACAAGAAGGCGGGTCTTCTTTCACTGTCAGCTAGAGGCAATTTAAATCTTTCCTTTGGTGCTGGGGCTGCCCTTCGGCATCCTAGCAAAGCTCCAAAGACAGATGCTAGGTCTCAAAAACTCATCTCTCAACTGGCTTCTGAAGGAAAATGAGAATTATCAAGTATCTAAAAATGGGAGCTACAAGGAGAGACCAGTGGAACTGAGTTATTCAGCCTAAAAGAGAAACATAAGGAAGATCCAAGTCCTCAGGACACAATGAGTTTCTGCAAAGATGGCGGAAACATTTTGCATGTCCATGTAGGATAGGACAGAAAGTAACAAAGTTAAATTAAACAGAGTAAATAGTAAGAATAAAATCTAAAATGACAGATTATGAAGTACTAACATATATGTCCTGGAGAAGCTGCAATTACCAATGTTAGAGATTCTTATAAATAGGTTAAGAAATGATGTAGTATTTCTAATTATTTTTGAGAGGAAAGGGTTGAACTAGATGATCTCTTGAGGTCCCTTCAAACCCTAATATGATTCTGTGAATCTTCTTCACAATATATTATGTGAGGAGATAAATAAAGTTAATGTTGTCGATATAAAAATGACATTATACCTATGTGTACCTGTCTTTCAACTTTTTCATTCCTGATTTTTCATGTTTGATAATATTTGGGATTGGAGGAAGATTAGCTCATTAATCGCTAATCCAAGAAAAATGTAATCATGCTTACACACGCTATAATTATACCAAAAGGAACCAGAAGAAATTTCAGAAGTATTGACTTGAATGAAAATGCTTCGTTTGTGCACAGTGGCTGCCTTTTTATCTTGCCTATTTTCAGAAACCGAGGTAGGAAACAATAGTCCAGTGCCCTTATTTTCATCTGCGCCATGAGTGGCTGCAGTATTTTCTTTCTGACAGAGACTGCTGTCAGTTGCCCATACGTCTGTCATCTCAAGTCTGCTTTGCTGCAGTTGTTTTCCTCATCATTCAGAAATGTCACCTAGTGCAAAATGGGCTGGTTTCATCTCAGTGCCCTTTTGCGTGGTGCTTGTTTTGCCTTTTCTCCATGATCTGTTGCAGGAGCCAGTTTGTTTCCATGTGTGAGTCAGTTTGTTGTTTTCAGCCTAAAACGCTACATGGCACAACACACATCCTACCATAAAAGCTTATAATGGCGGTTGATATGGCATGGGCGTGTGAATTAATTAGAGCCTTGGTTTGCAAGGCTAGAGTTAGATTACGGTATTTGTGATTGAGAGTGATTTAGGTCTTGAACTTGCTTGCCCTGCCCTGTTCTGGCAGGCTGCAAAGGTGTTGAACTTTAGAGCTCGTTGCCTGTCTGTGTATCTTGAGTTTTGAGAAGCAGTAAAAAATGAAACTCTAAGTGAGCTCATGAGGAAAAAAATAAACAAGAACAACTGGATGCTCACCTTGGAAAAACTGTATTTGCTTTCATGTTATTTAAATGCACGTAAGCCTTCTAATGCACATATTTTGCACATCGTAAGATAAACAGAACTGCAGCCACTACTGGCGGCTGATGCGTTTATTACTTTCTCCTTGGTCAGGGCTTTATTCTCACCTTAATAGACTGTAATCATTTGTCCTGTTGATGGAATCCTCCTTTTAAAATAATTCTGTTACTGTATTTGGGTACTTTACAAAGCCATATGAGAGTGATAATTGTGTGATATTTTGACAGGGAAAGGAGCAGCATGCATTTTCATTCACTCAGTATACAGATAACTTAAAAATCAGAGCAAATTTTTTTGGGAACCCTTTCAGGATTTGAGTATTTTTACATATATAGCAACCCCCCTAAATGGGAACTAATGAGTGGCCTAAAAACATTTTTTACTGTAATAAGGGGGAGAGCATTTCTAACAAAACATGCTTTATGCCAGCTGGTGTGTCAAATTAAATGCATTGCCGTTTATTTGGCATATGGACAATGAGAGCAGTTTTGCTCATTAAAACTAATGTCAAATGTACTTTATCAGAATATTTGTTCCAGTACTGAAATTGAACAGTAAATTGCAATGTGCAGTTCTGCATTAAAAAGGGAAGAGTCTATGTCCGCTGGCATGCACACCTCTGTCTAATATATTTAAAAGTTTGTAGCTCAAAAATTCTATTTGTAGATACATACATAGTCTTCAAATTGTGCTTTGTCACCCCTTTACCTTACCTGTCCAAATATTTGTTATCCTTTTTCAGACTTTAGAAAAACAGATTTTTTTCTATGTTTGGAAGTGTCAAAATTTTTAAATTGCAAACAAAAATGGCAACAAGGAGTCATGGCAATTGTTAACATTTGCACAGAAAATATTAGAAATGTTCCTTCACTAGAACAGTGCGATTTCTGACTCCAGTAGGGAGTGATCTCTGATGGGAATATTGCCCTGTGACAGTCTTACGTACACCGTTTGGTACCCCACCGTGGCCCACCATTCGGTACCTGAGCCTCAGTGGACTCTTACAACAGATGGAAGAGGCTTTAAGAACTGCCTGGCTGTCCAGGTGAGCCGCCCTCCAGCCTGGTCCAGATGCACGTTCCCTTGGCCGCAGCACTGGCGGCTTGGGGAGCCCTCTCAACTCATGGATCGCCTATATATTTACTCCGCTGTTGCGCTATAAAGCCTGCTTTGCCAGGCCAGATTTGTTCGGGCTGCTGCTCAACCCAGCTGTTGGCATTTGATGTCTGAACGTTGTAAGAAATTGCATCAGAATGACATGTTAGTATTTCATCTTTTTTTAGGCATTTTAGTACTGATGTTTTAATTTTAATATTTAATGTGACAGAGTGTTCTGGATTATGGAATAGCTGGTTTTCATTGTCCCTCATTTAGCTGATTATAAAAAGCATTTAACAGATTTGAGGAAGACTCTCCCTTGGTCGAGGAGGATCGGGTTAGAGATCTTTTGTCCAAACTTGACATCCACAAATCCATGGGCCCCAATGGGATGCATCCACGAGTGCTGAGGGAGCTGGCGGATGTTATCACTAGGCCACTCTCCATCATCTTGGAAAGGTCCTGAAGATCAGGAGAGGTGCCTGAGGACTGGAAGAAAGCCAGTGTCACCCCAGTCTTCAAAAAAGGGTAAGAAGGAGGAGCCAGGAAACTACAGGCCTGTCAGCCTCCCCTCCATCCCTGGAAAGGTGAGGGAACAGCTCATCCTGGAGGTCATCACTAAGCGTGTGGACGACAAGAAGATGATCAGGAGTAGTCAGCACGGATTCACCCAAGGGAAATCATGCTTGACCAATCTGATAGCCTTCTATGACGGAATGACTGGCTGGGTAGATGAGGGCAGAGCAGTGGATGTTGTCTTTCTGGACTTCAGCAAGGCTTTTGACACTGTCTCCCATCACATCCTCCTAGGTAAGCTCAGGAAGTGTGGGCTAGATGAGTGGACGGTGAGGTGGCTTGAGAACTGGCTGGATGGCCGAGCTCAGAGGGTTGTGGTGAACGGCGCAGAGTCAAGTTGGAGGCCTGTGGCGAGCGGTGTCCCCCAGGGGTCAGTCCTGGGTCCAGTCTTGTTCAATATATTCATCAATGACCTGGAGGAAGGGACAGAGTGCACCCTCAGCAAGTTTGCTGATGATACTAAACTGGGGGGAGAGGCTAACACACCAGAAGACTGTGCTGCCATTCAGAGGGACCTGGACAGGCTGGGGAGCTGGGCGGAGAGGAACCTCATGAAGTTCAACAAAGGCAAGTGCAAGGTCCTGCACCTAGGCAGGAATAATCCCATGCACCAGTACAGGCTGGGGACTGACCTGTTGGAAAGTAGCTCTGCCGAGAAGGACCTGGGAGTGCTGGTGGACAACAAGTTAAACATGAGCCAGCAGTGTGCCCTTGTGGCCAAGAAGGCCAATAGGATCCTGGGGTGCATTAGGCAGAGTGTTGCCAGCAGGTCAATAGCTGGCAACTACTCAGCCCTGGTGAGGCCTCACCTGGAATACTGCGTCCAATTCTGGGCTCCCCAGTCCAAGCGAGACATGGCGCTACTGGAGAGAGTCCAGCGGAGGGCTACAAAGACGGTTAGGGGACTGGAGCATCTCTCCTCTGAAGAAAGGCCGAGAGAGCTGGGCCTGTTTAGCCTGGAGAAGAGAAGACTGAGAGGCGAGCTCATCAACGCGTACAAGTATCTGAAGGGAGGCTGTCGAGAGGATGGGGCCAGCCTCTTCTCCGTGGTGCCCAGTGACAGGACGAGAGGCAACGGGCACAAACTGAAACCCAGCAAGTTCCATCTGAACCTGAGGAAAAACTTCTTTCCTGGGAGGGTGACAGAGCCCTGGAACAGGTTGCCCAGAGAGGTAGTGGAGTCTCCTTCCCTGGAGATATTCAAAACCCGCCTGGACGCGATCCTGGGAAATGTGCTCTAGAGGACCCTGCTTGAGCAGGGGGGTTGGACTAGATGATCTCCAGAGGTCCCTTCCAACCTCAACCATTCTGTGATTCTGTGATTTCTGTAATTTAACTGATTTTTTCAAACTAAGTTTTAAAACTTCTAATTAAACAACTGTTACAGCCTGTATATATTAAGTACCATTATATACATCTGCTTATAATACCTTAGAATTCATAGAATAAATAGATAATGGGATTTTTTCACAGTTTATGACAACTTTTTAAAATTGCTTTAAATCAAGTTCTGAAACTATAATTCTATATATAAGAAGAACCCTTTACTAACCTTTTTACCAGTAAAACAGTAAAGCTGAATACCAAGTATTTATTAATGGGTAGAAATGAAGGATAATGAATAAAGTATATGGTGCGTTATTTTTAACATATGTTTTAATTTGAAATTTTTTTAACTGGCAGATCTTTCCTTTTGAAGCTGGTTAACCAAACAGATGTGATAAAACTGAGTAGCTGATTAATTTCAGCAAAGCAGTATACTTCAAAGAGACTAGGAATTATTTTATACATTAACATAAGTCATGTTGCAATAATTTCTGCATGTATTTTAATGGCTACGTGACACTTCCTATACTTGAATTAGATTTCGGAGGTAGTACTTGTAAAATGACTCGTTAATATAAACACTGTAAACTTACTTTTTGTTTTTCCACAGTTCTCAGTGGCCTCTGTTCTAATGACTGCCCTCGGAAGATAACAGTAAGTATAACTATAACGTCCCATTGCTGTTTAGCTTCCGAGCGGGCTGGGGCCTGATTATACTGAGAGCTGTCCGTATAACTGAGACAGTTCCTGACTGGAAGAATGTGAAATCCAAATCATGGATGGCCACGTCCTGCGTATTTTGAAACCCGCGTCTTTTTCTGTTTGCCTGCTCAGAGATGAAACCAATGGACTGATCCTGCAGCAAAATTTTTACTTAGCATTACAGGGGCAGGGATGCACCAGATACTAAAAAGACCTGTGTAATACCAGTAGATGCCCATACTGCCTCATTTGGCACGTCTTGTTCTGGGCAGTCACAAAGACCAGGCCAAACCAATGCTACGACAGAGTCTGTCATGAGCTGCCAGATAGCCCCTTCTGGGCGACACAGAGTATACAGTAATATACAGGAGGTGGGCACCACAAAGGAAAGGGAAAGGAAAGGGAAGCAAACTTAACTCTGATGATTCTTCAGATTAACCACATGTAAATGAGCTGATTTCTACTTCAAGTATTTGAATTATCTCCAGAGACCTCTCAACCCACCCACCAAGCCATCAGTTAACAAATTACTGTGTTCACAGTGAAAGCTGGGCTGAAAGAGGAACTGGGAGAAATCAAAACTAGTATTTGTACTTCAGCTCTGCTACCATATGAAATTTCATTTTGATTTGGCCCAAAAATTGTTTCAAATTGGACCAGCATTTTCTTCCAGCCTATTTTAGGACATAAGGTTTCATTTTTGCTATTACAAGAGGGGGTCGATAATATTAATAGCTTAACTGGAAAACTAAAGAGAAGGTCCCAAAGAAAAAAAAGGTAAACCTTCACAACAAATGCTGGTGAGCACTTCATTATCAAAATCATTGAAATATTATTGCCTTCACTGTAAATGAAACTCTCTCAGAAAGTATCAGGACATATGTTACATCAGATACAGCCACTTGGCAAAAAAAAAAAAAAAAATCCAGATTTTCACTTCATTTGTTCATCTTTCATGGATCTGCACTAACAGCTTCTTTGCTGTCTCCTTACCTTCCGTTCTGGCCATTATTATTTTCCAAGCTCTGATCCTGTCTCTCATCATCACTTACTCTTATGGTTTACAACTTACTGTTTTTCCGAGGTGTAGTGTGAAATGTGTCATCATCTCTTCTTTTTAGTGTCATTTCTGCAGCTGATCTGAGAGAGCTTTTTCTGGATGGGATGCCCTCGTATCAGCCTGTGTTCAACATGGAAAAACAAAACTTTCTTGAAAATCTTTTCATCTAACTGCTTCCCTTCCCCTCCCCGCCGTATGAGATAGTTGGGGTTTTTTTGTTGTTTCCTTCCCTCAGTCTTCCTCAAGTACATTTGTTAGGATTCATCACTCACTAATCCACAGCTCCCTTTGATTCCCCCCACCCTTGTACTTGGGTTAAACAGGCTTTCTCTCTCAAAAGAAATCATTTAAAATAGATATTGCCATTTGACCAGTAATTCTTTATTCAGTCACTTTCATTAAATAAAACAGTGCTAAATAAAGGTAACACAGTTTTGAATTTTTGTATGTATTTTCAGATTCAGAAAGGCCATAAAAATAGTGCAGTCTCAGAAAACATTGAATGATTTCTACTTTTTTTAAAAAGGCAGTTACAACGTCTTTGAATTTTTAGTTTTTTCTTATACTTGTAACTCGCTAGGAAACGTTAAACCTTTGCCATGGGGCTGCATGGTGTCGGTTTCTTCCTCAGTTACCGTTGATTTCGTGCCCGGCAAGAACGCCCGTTTCCCTTTCTCTGTCGGAGCTGACCCAGCGGATGCACTACCCGTGTACGGCACGCTGTAACACAGGGCCACAGAAGGGTGGGATGATTTAAGCATGGAAACTCTGAACACATGAAGGATAGGTCCAAAAAGTTTTGTTCGACTCTTATCTTTTGCATTGCAAACCTAGTGTTGTGGTATGGTCTTGAAATAAACTTGAAATTATTTTTAAAGATGCTTTACAGCGGTTCCCCTAATATCTTAAATACACCTTTTTTACAGTTGAACAGTTGTCTGTTGTGTATTGATTTTCTTTTTTTTTCCCTCCAGAGAGAGAGCCTTGAGGCTCTTCATAATCTTTGTTTTCTCCTTCCAAAAATAACATTAAGTGTTGGGAAAAAATACACTGTGTGTATTTTGCCCATGCTTTTTCCTCAGGCTAATGCTGACATTTTAAAGTATTTAGGTACTAGGAGCGCTTTTTTTATTATTTAATTTTTTAATTTCCTGTCTTGAAAACAATTCTGTTCTATAGAGGTTTTTATTAGTGTATTAGAGTGTATTTAGAAAAGAACTGATAGCAGTAACATTACTGAGGCAACAGATTAGCCTTATAATGAAAATGAATTTTTGCATAGTGTTATGACCAAAATAATTTTGATTGCAGAATTATCCATATACTAAGGAAATTATTAAACTATGAAAGTTTTTCTTTGGTTTACTGTTTCATTAGTATAGCTCTGTCTGTTCCTAAAATCAAAGAAACAAAAATAAAATTTTGCTAATTTTTTTTCTCTTTTTTCCTTATAGCCTTTTGGTGTTAATCAGCCTGGTCCTTATATCATGTACACAACTGTAGATGCAAATGGATACCTGAAAAATGGGTCAGGTAAGATAACTTCATGATAAGAATACACACGGCATGGTCTGTAAATACTTCTCAGCAGCTTGGAGAGAGATGGAAAGAAATCTAGAGTAAAATAGGACTGGTTTTTGAACAGTGTTTCCAGGTTGCAAAGGGGAAAAAAAATCATCTTTTCAGTCTTATTTTCCAGATTTCATATTGATTACAAACATTGCAACTGCATTTGTTCTTCCTTTCTTCTGTCTCATGCAAATTGTGTTTAAACAGTTGCTATATCTCACCCAGTCTGAAAAATCATTGCGTACAATATCATCTGTTCATGAAATCACATAAGCTTCTAAACAGTAGTTTTTTTTCTACAAGTTGTGTAGCAATTATATATTAAGGAACAATAGTGGGCTTGAAATATCTAACTGGAATCTTGTAGCTACACGAGAAAGGATCAACATAGCGTTCACTGAACATGTTAATTATGGGTAGCATCCTTATGTATGATAGCTCATTTATCATGCATGCAAGGATGTGTTTTTCTGGAGTTGTTCCTTATATCTAGTAGGCTTACTGAACTTCAGTAATAATGAAGTCTGTAAAATCGTAAGTACCGTGAAGGAGATGGAGTGGTTGTATATCCTTCTCATAATATAACAACTACAAGGTATCAAAAAAAATCATTAGGTGGCAGGGTCAAAAGCAATAGAAGGAAGCAGTTCTTCATGCAACCTGTAGCTTAACTAGAAATTTAATTGGACAAGATACTGTTGGTGCCATAGTTCACATGAATCCAAAAACTAAGTAGATAAATTCGAAAAAGAATGATCCATTAGGCCACAGTCCAAGCAGTGCCTAATGCTGGAAGACGACTGATTTTGATGCTCCCTTCCTAGTTATCTACTGCTGGCTCCTGGAAGACACAGATTACTGAACTAAACAGTCCGTTGGTCCAAGCTGTTATGCCTATTAGTCTTATTTCCATGATCTCATAACGGACCCACTGTCACTTCGCTAAAATTTCCAAACTCTCAAGCCAAAACGTATGCAGAGTATGCACATCGTTAAGTTCTCCCCTTTCCTACTCCTTCACAATATGGCAGTTTTCTGCATCTATCATGTAAATCTTACCTCTAGGTCCAAATTGAACTATTTAAAAAAAAAAAAAAGCCCTGGCATAGTTCACTGGGAAAACTGTATACCTTTTTACAGAATTAATAGCTGTACTAGAGTAATATAATGCTAATTATATAGCATACATAATGCTAATTATAGCATTTATTTAAAACAATAGAAATGTTAGGGGAAAACATGCTGATATGTTAGGTTCTAAATCAGTGATATGCTCTCACCTTGAATGGTGCGCTCAGAACTGTTTATCCCACCTTAGAAAAGCTAAAGGAAAATAAAGATGTCCCGAAATGCCTACCAGATGACTGGAAAAACATATCCTGATATGTACTTCTGTATTCATACATGCTTAGATATGGCTTTAGGTGCCTAACTGTACGCAAATAAGTTTGAAAGTGTTAGCCTATGTTTTTTACCAAATAATTCATGCCAATATGAAAATGCAGAGTATTTTTTCAAATGGTTGTAGGAATTCATTTTTAAAAATTAACGGTCCTACCAGTTTTGCCCTCAGCTTGCTTGCTCTTACGGGTTTTCTTCATGAGTTGAATTTAAGAAGCGCTTACATACCCGGTCAGAAACACTTAGAACCCCATGATGAGTTCAGAGATTTTAGTTCTGCGTTAGTTTAACAGAGTGTCGTACATCAGACCCGTGCCCTTAAGGGGCCGGTACTGGTTGGGTACCAACTTGCATATCTCATTGTTGCTGAATACCAAGATGAAGGCGTGTGAGTTTGTCACAGCCAAGTCACAGTATAGTTTATCTTGTTTGCCATACCCGAAAATACTGGCAAAAGCTTATACAGAATCACTGTATAAGCGCCCACAAAAAGCCTGGCTTCCTACGGACATGAAACTTACTTCAGTGTGCTGTCTTTATGGTTATCTGTAGTCCCTAGTTACAATTGAATTCAGTGGTCTACTTAAGCCAGTTTTAACTGAAGCCTAAAATGTCTCCAGTAGGACTCTACCAATTCTGTAAGCAGCAGCAGCTGGGCAAAAGGCAGAGCTGCAGAGACGGGCGTTCGTCACTCCAGACCGGATCCCCTGAGCTTTTGAAAGGCTTTACTTAGAGACGACCAGTTGCTTGGTGTGCTTTGCCCTCAGGCTGGCCATGCGGCCAGCACACGGACAGTTTGGAGCTGGCCGTAGCCTGCGGTGCTCTTCCGCAGCAGCAGTGAGGGGCCAGGCCGAAAGCTTGGGGTGCCGCGGGGGGACTAGGGGGAGCTGGAGGACGAGGCTGAAGTGTTGCAGGTGCCATAAGAGAAGCTGGGCTGCTTGCAAAGAGGTGTGGGATTCATAGCCATAAAAACCCAGACTTTACTTTCACAGCTTACGTCTTGTTTGCCAAGATGTTTGTCTCATTTTGCCTCAGGTTTCTACAGAGTCATACTGTGTTGTCTGTATTACTTTATTCCACGCTGGTGTGACTTACCTTTTTCCTTCTGTTCTTCTTGATGTCTGGGTATCTTGATTTTCATCCTTGTTTAGCTTCCATGTTGTGTATTGGCTTTAGAGTTGAGTTTCTGACAGATACTGTTAAGATACATACTGTTAAATACAAGCGATTTTGTTGTACCCATTCCTTTTTTAAAGGACGTACGAATGTTGTGATTCACAATGACAAAAGCATAAACAGTTTGGGAAGCACTTAGTATTTTAGTAAAGAGTATTAAAACTCTTTTCTTTTACAAATTTCTCTAAGAAAAAAGGCAGACTGGAGTTTACTTCTCTCTCCCTCCTGCTGTTAACTAAGCTACATCTTGATCACTGCACCTGCTGTGCTCTTCGGCTGTCTTTTCGGGATGTGGACCTGTTGATAAACTACCTCTTGAGAGCTACTATCAGAGTTCCTTGAAAATAGTATAATCTCTGGATTACAAAATTTCTTTTCAGCCTGCCATTAAAAGTTGGTTCAGTGTACTTCTTAGGTGAGCATACATCTGAATGAGGAAATCTGCACGTTTAAAATAGTTTGATCTGTTTACTTCCTTCAGGCTCCCTGGGAATTAATGCAGGCCTGCCTAGCGTTTGGTACACCAAGGCAAATATAGATTAACTTCATGAAAGCACAGATTCATAATTCCCTTGGCCATGTGACTGGGAATAGATACCTACACACAGTTTTATAATCAAAGAATGGGGAATACTGGTAAATAACTCCAACTGCCTAAGTAACAAAAAAGTTTATTTCCTGAGTAAAGAAAAACATTAGCAAAACCATCAAACTAACCGGGTTTTCTCCTTTAGGAAATTGCTGTAAAACTGCTATAAATCAAATATACTACAACATAACCATTCCTTAGATCTAAATACACTCCTTCAGATTTGTTGTTTGTGTAGTCAGGGCAGTTTTTCATTACTACTTATTTGTAGCTAACAATCTCAAACTTAGAAATCTGATATTTTAAGTGAGCTCATCCTAAACACTTATAAAATCCTGTCTAACAGCTGCTAGAACCTGTATAATTAATTATAAAAATATTTTATATTTAGGGTACCATAAACCACCACTGTAGAGGACAGAAACTTGACCCACCTGGATGATTTCTTATATGTCACCACTAAATTGCAAGTTTAGATGGGTTTGTTTTGTGCATGTTTGACCCTTTGGCTCTTAACTACTAAGCAGTTAAAAGAAAGATGTTCTTCCCTCTGCTGACTTCTCTGTCATGGAAGAATGCACATTGCTTACAAATTCCCTGTATGTGTGGGGAATAAAACAAGCTTAATATTTGTGCCTATTAATTTAATATATCTTTTTTTTTAATGTTGTTTTCTCTTGTTTCCCTTTTCCAGGAACAAGAACAAGTATATTTTTCTTAAAAACATTGATCTTATGGGGAGGGTTGGGGGGGGGGGGGGGGGATGTATGAGGTGTGGGGGGGGTTGGGGGGGGGGGCAGGTGCTTTTAGGAATGCAAAGTTTTTACAATTTACTCTGAGAAACAGCTATCTAGCATGATTTAATACTGTTGTAGTAACATTAATCTTCATTGCTACTGTATTTACAATAGCAAAAACCTAACAGAGTCCAATCATGATGAATTTCCTTTGCTTTGGCGTTATGACATAACAGTAATGAATTCCAAGTGCGTTTGTGACCCGAACAGTCTTGCTGCGAGGAATTTTGTAATACTCTCTCTGATCAGTTTCTCAAATGCAATACGTTAATAGAATTTTTTTGAGTCTGCCAAGAACTTTTCAAAGTCATATTTTCTCAAGGTATTATATTAAGCTTATATCTAAATTTTCTTCTTTTACAAGTCCTGCTTGTAAAATTCAGTAAATGCTTTTCTAACTAGAATTACTGCCCTACGAGTTATTATCTTGAAATCAATTATCTATTCAAATGGAATATGATTCTCATGTTACAATCAAGAAACACCTCAAGCAACCTGTCTATATATAAATGTCCTGCCTGACAGAACCGAACTAGAGAACAGAATGATTTTAAATGATTTTAAGTGAAGGCTTAATAGGGCTTTTTGCCATATTCAAGATTTTTTTAATTAACTATTCATCTAGTAATTAGATCATCCATTAAATGTTTTGAAAATGCTAAAATGTTTTAGATTAATTCTTAATTTTTTAAAAAATTAGGAAAAAAATTATTGGAAAAACAAGAGACATTAACCTACATGTTACTTACCAAGTCAAGCTTTGAAGCAAGCTAACTGTAAAAACAAGAGTCAAAGCACACTGTGGTGTATTTTCTGCGCACAGTAGCTGTGTGTGTTCCTGTCTCTTCAGAAACGTAGTCATAGCACAGGGGTTTGTTTAGAATTTTTCCTAAGCTGAACTCTGTGCCTGCTGTATAGTTCATTACACAGTTTTGGGAGCTGGAGTCAAGGGGTTAGCCTGAAGTTCACCAACGCTGCCTTTATAGGGTTTATGGCCTTTT